TTCTTATAGAGCCAAATATTTGCTGTGTCCCATGCTGAGTATTCTGCTAGAAATGAATAGAGTAAAATGGGAAAAAATGGTGATGTGGATGAAACCCATGGCCTACCACTAAACTAGCCCCCTTAGCCCTATTTTTATGTAATTTAAAAAATATGTATTATTTTTATTTTATGTATACGAGTGTATTGCCTGTGCATGTGTAAGTGCACCCATGTCATGCAATGCCCTCAGAGGTCAGAAGAAGGCAATGGAGTCCTCTGGAACTGGAGGTATAGACAGCTGTCCGCTGCCATGTGGGTGCTGAGAATGGAACCCAGGTCCTTTGCATGAGTAGCAAGTGTTTTTAACCTCTGAGCCATCTCTTCAGCACCGCCCCCCCCCTTTTTTTTTGAGACAGAGTCTCACTATGTAAAATTGGCTGGCCTGGAATTTGCTATGTAGACCAGGTTGGCCTCAAACTCACAATGATCTACCTGCCTCTGCTTCCTGATCAGTGCCGAGAACAAAAGCATGCATTACCATGCCCAGCTAATCCTATTTGGGGTGGAGAGGGTTGAGACAAAGTCTTGCTACATTGCCAGACTAACTTGAACTCATGATCCTCCTGCCTCAGCCTCCTGAGCTGTTGAGATTATAGGCTTGTACCATTATATTCAGTAATAGAAGCTTAAAAAATAATTTTTTTTTTGAGCCAGGGTCTCCCTGTAGCCCCAGCTGGCCTGGAACTCACTATGTAGACCAGGCAGGCCTTGAACTCACAGAGATCCACCTGCCACTGCCTGCCTCTTGTGTGCTGGGATTAAAGACGTGCACCACCATGCCCAGCTTAAAATGTTTTTTATTTTAATTAAAAAAAATTTTAAGCTCTTAACCACTGAGCCATCTCTCCAGCCCATAATTTTTTTTAAATATTTTGTTTATTGTTTTTATTTTATGTGTATTGCCTGGACGTAGGTAAGTGCACCTGTATCGTGCAATGCCCACAGAGTACAGAAGGGGCTGTCAGATCCCCTGGAACTGGAGTTACGGACAGTTGTTAGCCGCCATTTGGGTGCTGGGATTCAAACCGGTCTTCTGCAAGAGCAATCAGTGTTCATAACCGCTGGGCCATCTCTCCAGCCCCAACTTTTTTTTTTTTTTTTCAGAGCTGAGGACCAAACCCAGGGCCTTGCACTTACTAGGCAAGTGCTCTACCACTGAGTTAAATCCCCAAACCCCAGCCCATAAACTTTAAAAAAAAAAAGAGTGCAGCATATGGATACAGTGCCTTTGGAGGCCAGAAGAGGGCATTGGATCTTCTGGAACTGGAGTTACAGGCAGTTGAAAGCCACCTGATGTAGGTCCTGTAAACCAAACAAACCCATCATCTTCTGCAAAAGTGCAAGCCCTCTTAATCACTGAGCCATCTCTTCAGCCCCAACTAAGGAACTTTTTGGTATGTGGAGTATAGATGGGGAAGAAAAACTTACAGGACAGGAGCCCTATGCTAGAACCTGACAAATTAGTTCTGATTGTGAAGGAAAGGTAAATGAAAAGAGAATTTGGTTTTAGAAATATTGAGCATTGGGCTGGGGATGTAGTTCAGTTGGTAGAGTGCTTGCTTAGCATGTACAAAGTCCTGTGTTTAGATCCCAGCCACCATATAAACCAGGTATTAAAACTTATGACTATAATCCCAGCACTTGAGAGATGAAGGCAGGAGGATTAGAAGTTCAAAATCATTCTTAGCTACATATCAAGTTTTAAGGCCAGCCTGGGCTTCATGAGACCCTGTTTTTAAAAATATTTTGTTTATTATTTTTATATTTTATGTGTACGAGTGTATTGCCTGCATGTATGTGAATGCACCTGTGTTGTGCAATGCTGCGGGGGTCAGAAGAAGGCTTTGGATTCCTCTGGAACTGGAGTTAAGTATAGTTTGTAGCCACCATGTGGGTGCTGGGAATCGAACCCAGGTCCTCTGCAAGAGCAGTCAGTGCTCTTAACCACTGAGGCATCTCTCCAGCCCCCCCCCCTTTTTTTTTAAGGATTAGTGGGTTAACCTGGGCAATTCAGGGCATGTGCAAGAAAAGTTTAAATTTGCTGGGCATGGTGGTGTATGCCTTTAATCTTTAATCCCAGCACTTGGGAGGCAGAGGCAGACCCTGTCTCAAAAACACCAAAAAAAAAAAAAAAAAAAAAAAAAAAGGGAAAAAAAAAAAAAAGGAAAAAAAAAAAATGTTAGGGGTGGGAAAGATATGTGGGAGCGGTGGTGTGTGCACGGTGTGGGTGCCTGTGTATGTAGAGGCCCAAGGTTGATGTCAGGAATCATCCTGGATCACTCTTCTACCTTATTCATTAAGGCAGGGTCTCTCAGTCAAACCCAAAGCCCACCTAGCTGTCTTGCTAACCAGCCTGTTCTGGGGATGCCCGTCTCTGCCTTCTAAGGCTGGATTTATAGGCAGGCCACCTGGCATTTACAAATGTGGGTGCCTGTGTATGTAGAGGCCCAAGGTTGATGTCAGGAATCATCCTGGATCACTCTTCTACCTTATTCATTAAGGCAGGGTCTCTCAGTCAAACCCAAAGCCCACCTAGCTGTCTTGCTAACCAGCCTGTTCTGGGGATGCCCGTCTCTGCCTTCTAAGGCTGGATTTATAGGCAGGCCACCTGGCATTTACAAAGTTTTTGGGGACTGAACTCAGATCTCATACTGGTGTGGCAATCTTTGCCCGTGCCTGGCTTTTTTACATGGATTCTGGGGACTGAACTCAGATCTCATACTGGTGTGGCAAGCCCTTTAAATGTAATGTTGAGGCTTCTTTGCCCATGCCTGGCTTTTTTACATGGATTCTGGGGATTGAACTCAGGTCTTCATGCTCATGAGGCAAGCTATTGCTCCACCCCGAGGAAAGGTTTTCTTTATTCCAGCTTCTTTTCTTCCTTTGGCCAACAAACACTTACTGAACATGCACTAAACCACAGTGTATCTAGGGACAGTGATGATGTCTGTTGTTAAGAGTGAGTACCCTAGTGCTGGGGATCTTAGCTCAGAGCACTTGCACAGCATGCTTAAGGCCCTGGGTTCAATTGCAAGTACCATAAGAAAATGAGGAGTGAACATTTTGGCTCAAGAGGTAGATGGGAAGATGACCAGATACTATTTAAAACTAGGGTAAATGCTGGAGAGGAAATAGAACAAGGATGTGAGCTCGAAAATGCACTCCGAGGTTCTGGGAAGGCCCCTCTGAGGAAGTACCATTTGAGCTAAGTGATGAAAGGAGCCAGCCAAGTAGAAAAGCAGCAAGTGCAAAGGCCCTATGGGTGGGAAAATGCTCAGGAAGTTGTGTATAATGAATGAAGAGGAGAAGCAAAGGGATTAATGGTAAATGTTGCATCACTTCTTCCCACCATGGTCTGGAGTTTGGTTTAGATGGATGAAAGTTTCATGGGGTTTTAAGAAGGGGGTTGCCATGTTCTGAAAAGAGCTGGCTGGGGAAGCGAATGCAGGGGATTGGAGAGATAGTGCTAAATGAAAGACAAATAGGGATCTGGCTCCTACTGTCTCCATTCCCCAAGCCCCACCCTCCCCTCCTTGCCCCGCCCCCCAACCCTGTCAAAGGGAAGTGAGGACCCTGCCACCTGTAGAGTCCCCTGGGGTTTGCCTGGGCCAAACAGGAAGCCACAGTGAGACAGGGCTGGGACTCAGCTAAGAAAGCAGGTCTCTTGGGCCCCTAGCCTTTCCTCTAAGTGCTATCAGCAGTGAAAGGCACACACACATACACACATACACCCCCTGAACCATCAACTCCATGTGTGACTTTAGACAACACCTCCCATTTCTGAATGAGTTTCTCCCATAACTGAAGCAGGGCTTCCTGAGGAAAAACAGGAGGGCAATCTCAATCTTTAGTCATTTCTAAGGACCACTGTAGAGGAGTGACATTGCTCTTGCCTTCCCAAAGGGCTGCTCAGTCCCCTCCCAGCATAGGTTCTTTTATTACCCCAGCTTATAGATGAAGAAGCTTTCCCATGCCTTTACACCAGCAAGCACAGCTCAAGCTCTCAGACAGACAGATGGACACAAACACACATTTCACATATTTCCTCTTGTGCTAGGAACTGAACCCAGGGTATTGCATACACTAGACAAGTGCTCTACCATTGGGTTACACTACATACACAGCTCACAACTCCTTTTTTGAGATGAGGTCTGGCTTTGTAATCCAATCTGAAATGAAACATGCTATTTGTGTGTGTGTGTGTGTGTGTGTGTGTGTGTGTGTGCGTGTGTGTGTGTGTGTGCGTGTGTGTGTGTGTGTGCGTGTGTGTGTGTGTGTGCGTGCGTGTGTGTGTATGTGTTACTGGATTATGAATCTAGGGCCTTGTGTATGCTAGGTGAGTGCTCTGTCACAGAACTATATCCCCAGTTTTGGGGGCTTTTTGTTTGTTTGTTTTCAGACAGGGTATCACTAAGTAGCCAAGATGTCCTTAAACTCACTCTGTAGTCCAAGCTGGTCTTGAAGAATGATCTTGTCAAGTAGCTGGGATTACAGTCCTGGACCAGCAGTCTCAGTGTAAAGCACTAATATTATCCTTAGATGATAGAGAAAGAAAAGGAGGCTTTGAAGGAGAAATTTAGCCAGGAGGAGCTGAGAGATTAGAACTCAAGTCTTCAGCCCCCAAAGCACTGATGGGTGGTTGTATGGAGGTGGACTGCTTGCTTATTGGAGGTCATGTGTACAAAGGAAAATGGAGTCAGAGCCTGGGGTCTGGAGGAGTGAGGAGAAAGGAGAGAGGCATTAAGTCTGAATTCTCTCATTTGACAAATACATACCAGGTGCCTAGTGTATACCAAAGCACATGTTACCCTGCCCCACAGGGCTTCCATGCTAGTGGACGTAACAGAGACATGGCAGACCCACACACTAGATCATTCACTTGGGGTAAGTGCTTCGAAGAAAACAAAACTGTGGCAGGGAGGGAGTACTTGTTATGGATCTGGAGGGATGCTTGCAGAAGGGGGCCTAAGGCGTGACCACCCTTTTCCTCTATCTGGGGACTGCCACCGCCCCCACAGGCACCCATGGTTCATTGCCCACCAGGCCCCTGCTTGCCCCAGCATCCCCTGCGCGGCCGGCTGCGCAGAAGCTGGGTGCCCTGGGGAGCCTGGCTACCATGCCACCTCCTCTCCTCTTCTTCCTCCTTTTCCTTACCCTGGTAGGAGTCAGGTCCCAGAAACCTCTACTGGTGGAGGTAGAAGGTATGTTCGTCTGAAGGGCAGAAGGGAAGGAACTGGGGCTGGAAGTCTGGGTTCTGGGCTAAGTAACTTGTGTTCTCTGAGCCTCCATTTTCTTATTTGTGAAATTCTGGGAAGGATCAGAAGGATTCTGGGGGTTCCCGTACTCCGAACTATTGGAGTCCTTTGGTTTATGAGGAGGGAAGAGGGTGCTGTGGCTCCCTCCTTTCTTCCCCCACAGAGGGAGGCAATGTTGTGCTGCCATGCCTCCAGAACTCCTCAGCTGACCCCTCTGAGAAGCTGGCCTGGTATCGGGGGAACCAGTCAACACCCTTCTTGGACCTAAGCCTAGGATCCCCAGGCATGGGCCTGCTGGTGGGGCCTCTGGGCATCCAGCTACTCATTGTCAACGTCTCAGACCAGATGGGGGGCTTCTACCTGTGCCAGCAGAGGTCCCCCTCTGAGGACGCCTGGCAGCCTGCCTGGACAGTGACTGTGGAAGGCAGCGGTGAGGGCCTGGTAGGGCTGGGCTGGGAGGCTGGTTGGGAAGAGGGTGGTTCATTACGGACAGAGGAAGTCCCATGGTGAAGGTGGGCTACAGGGGCTGAGGAGGAAGGAGTTAGTTCTAGGCAGCTGGTACCTGTGACTTGGTGACTGCTCTGAGCTGCCCCATGTCTGTCTCTTCTGTCTTTGTTTCCTTCTCTCTACATCTTTGTCTCTGCCTTTCTGGGTCTCTGTATCTCTCTCCCTCTCATGTTCTATGTCTGGTTTCGGGTCTCTTCCCAGGGGAGCTTTTCCGGTGGAATGCTTCAGATTTAGGGGACCTAGACTGTGGCCTGAAGAATAGGTCCTCAGAGGGCCACAGGCCATCTTCTGGTCACCATACCAGGTCCCAGCTATATGTGTGGGCCAAAGACCGTCCTAAGATGTGGAGAACAGAGCCTGTATGTGCCCCACCAAGGGTCAGCCTGAATCAGAGCATCAAACAAGGTAAGGGGACTGTGCTATAGAGATTCTGGGAAGTAGGAGACCAAGAACAGAGATGGTACTGGGAACTGGAGGGTTTAGGGAGGTAAGACCCCATGGATTATACTTTCCTTGCTTTGTCGCTTCCTGCTGCAGACCTCATTGTGGCCCCTGGCTCCACACTCTGGCTGTCCTGTGGGGTGCCCCCAGTCCCAGTGGCTAGAGGCCCCATCTCCTGGAACTATGTACATCCCACGAGGCCTAAAATTTCATTGCCGAGCCTGAACCTTGAGGATGAGCTCCCAGTCAGAAAGATGTGGGTTTTGGGGCCTCTTCTGTCACTGCCCCAGGCCACAGCTCAAGATTCGGGTACCTATTACTGTCTCCGAGGCAGCCTGATCACCAAGATACATGTGAAGGTCATTGCGCAGCCAGGTAGGGTTTTTCTCCATTGTGGGGCATCTGTATGGAGCTACTGGAAGAAGTGAAAGGGTTGGGTATGTGGCTAAGTGGTAGAGTGTGTGCTTAGCGTGTATGAGGCCCTGGGTTCCATACCCAGCACTTTGTGTGTGTGTGTGTGTGTGTGTGTGTGTGGTGTGTGTGTTTGAGAGAGAGAGAGAGAGGGAGAAAGAGAGAGAGAGAGATTCCTCCACTAGGCCTAGTTGTGTACACCTGTAACCCTAGCACTTGGGAAGCAGAGGCAGGAAGACTTCAAGTTCCAAGCAAGCCTGGCACTAGGACCACCTTCAAGCTTTAGCCCAAACTCAATTACTACTGAACTCCAGCTCTTTCCTTGCTTCTAAAAACCAGTTTTTCTGGGTCTTCTCCAGTGAGCTTTAGTGGAGTCTTCTTCCCCAACCCCTCCCTGTTGGGAGTCCTGGTCTTCCACTCACTCCTATCCACACTTTCTCATTTGGCATTCTTGACCCCCATGGCTCCTGGGTTACCATGCCTTGGTACCTATTCTAGGCTACATACCCCAACACCATAACCAGCTGTCTTTTGGAACTGCCATTTGATGTCCCATGGACGTCTGAGGCTTGATATATAAAGTCAAACTCAACATCCTTCCCAGGCATAGTCTTCTGGGTGACTCTGGGTAAGTGAAGCATCCAGAAGAATCTATAAGAACACATTTGCTCAAGATAGGAGCCCTGAATTCTTTTTTCTTCACCCCATTCATCAAATCAGTCACAATGTCCTGCTTATGTTGTCTCTGCAATTCAAATACCATGCCATCTGACCACAGCTCTTAAACTCTTCCTCAACTTCCAGCATGTGTTGGTTTCCAACTCTAACCTGGCAGACTCACCTTTGCCCTTCACTTTGACCATGATCATCCTTAACTTCAGAATTAAGCCTCCCTTAATCCTCATATCATTTTGGATGATCTCCATGCTTTGTACATGGTTTGTTCAATATACTGTCGCATGCTCTGTGCCAGGCTCTGTGGCTTGTCCTTGTCCTCCTGGGGCTAATAAATAGCTCCTTAGAGGAAGGGAGAAGAGCCTTTCGCATAGTTTAGGACTTTAAAATTTTTTATTTTTATTTTACATGTATAAGTGTTGTGTGTGCATGTATGTAAGTGTACCATGTGCACGCACTGTCCACAGAGACCAAAAGAGGGCAATAGATCCCCTGGAACTTGAGTTACCAACAGTTGTAAGCTGCCACATAGTGCTGGGAACTGAATCCCAGTCCTCTGCAAGAGCAACCAGTGCTGTCAACCACTGAGCCAGCTCTCCAGTCCCTATAGCTTGGGACTTACATCTGTCTTTCTCTGGTCTCTGGGATGTATGTCCCTCTAGTTCTTGGGGTGGGAAGTAAGATGTAGCCTTGGTCCCTGACTCATAGCACCTTCCCCCTAACAGTGTGGCGCTGGCTGTTGAAGGATAATAGATGGATGGTCCCAGTTGTGACGTTAGTTTATCTCATCTTCTGTATGGGTTCCCTAGTGACTTATCTCTGTCTTCGAAGAGGTAAGTCATGCCCCCCAGTGTCTCCAAATTTTACCTCATCTTCTGAAGGATAAGGCCACACTGGCCAACCTGACAACCATGTTTTCTCTCTTCACATCTAGTCCCTACCTGTCCCACAACCGTGTCCCCAACTCCTCCTCTAATGACTCTCAAACTTCCCAGGATCCCTAGAATTGGAATAGCCATCTATTGATCCAACTGACCTCCCCTGTGTCCCTCAACTCCTCACCCTGCCAGGCAGCCCCTCCTCTGATGGCTGTCTTTAAATCCCACCAGCCCTGATCCTAAGGAAGAAAAGAAAGCGAATGACGGACCCTGCCAGAAGGTAATTTAGCAAGGGCACCATCAAGTCACCTTCACCACAGGCTTTCCACTGTTTCCTCTGTACCATGGGCCTTTGCACCAGCTCTAATACTGCCCAAGTTCAAAGTCCAGTTCCAAAAAACACCTTCTTTGGGAAGAGCTCCTTAGAATGGTACCAAACTCTTCTGTAGGCTGTCCATACATAACCATTGAGGGAGCCAACTGAATCCAGTCCCTGAATCCCTTCCAGATCTAGCCTCACAGTGCACCTCCCCTTCTCCCTCCAGATTCTTCAAAGTGACACCTCCCCCAGGAAACGGGACCCAGAACCAGTATGGGAATGTGCTCTCCCTTCCCACACCCACCTCTGGCACTGGTGAGGGGCACCTGAGACCTTCCAGCATATTCACCCCTCCAGCCCATACCTCCCACCTCCACTGTCCTCATTCCTACAGTCTCCAGAGCGCCAAACCTTCCCAAGGGTGGAGTCTACAGCTTTAGAGCAGAGCCTTGTTCCAGGACTTGACAGATTCAGATCCTGTCCCCATGGTTCAGGGCCGCTTACCTAGGCACACTGGCCTCTGCAGAACCTAAGGTGTCCTGTCCCCTGCCACCCTCTTAAGACACTGCTCTTTCCAGCACGCGCTCAGCGTTGGGCTGCAGGCCTAGGGAGTGCTGCTCCATCCTATGGAAACCCACACATTGACATCCAGGAGGCTGGATCCCTGGGGTCCCAGAGCCACGAAGCAGGTTGGATCAGGGGAGGTTTCTCACTTGGAGGGCGTTGGAGAGGCCTGTGGTGTGATTGGCAGACCCGGGCTGGATGAGGAGGGAGGTCACTCCACTCTTGTCCCAAACCCAGGGCTAGAAGAAGAAGGAGAGGCCTACGAGGAGCCAGACAGCGAGGAGGCCTCCGAGTTCTATGAGAACGACTCCAGCATTGGGCAGGACCAGCTCTCCGGAGGTAAGTCTCCACTTCCCTGGTCATCTCCACCTCTCCACCTACGGACTGTGGACCCTCGCTGGATGCCCCTCCTTCTCTACCAGATGGCAGCGGCTATGAGAACCCCGAAGATGCACCTTTAGGTCCAGAGGAGGAAGACTCCTTCTCCAATGGTAATATGGGGTCCTTGAGGGGCCTGGTGGTCATGAGAGGATGCCTGGTGCTGCCAGACTCCAAGCGCACCCGAGTGACCCAGGAGCTCTCTCTCTTCTGCCACAGCTGAATCTTACGAAAACGCAGATGAAGAGCTAGTCCAGCCAGGCGGCAGGACAATGGGTGTGTATGTGTGTGTGTGTGTGTGTGTGTGTGTGTGTGTGTGTGTTTGTGTGTATGGTCACATGCCTAGGAAAAGACTGGCCACCTGGAGAAAAAGTGACTCCTTTCTTTTTACAGACTTTCTGAGCCCCCATGGATCTGCGTGGGACCCAAGCCCAGAAGCAACTTCACTTGGTGAATGCTTAGGGTAGCAATTCTGACAACAAGCCAGCCTCTGATGCCAAGCCCACCCTTGATGTTAGACTTGATTCCTAACTCTGCCCTCAATGCTGAACCCATCCCTATCCTGATCCCGTAGTATTTATACCATCTCATTTACTATGTAGCCCAGGCCATTGGCCTGCCAAGTGTTCCAGGTATTAAACACAATTTCAAGAACATTTGGTTCAACCTTGACCATCAACATTGAACCAAATGTGCTTGAAATTGTGCTTAATGCCTAGAACACTTGGTAGGCCGATGGCCTGGGCTACATAGTAAACTCCAGGCCAGCCTAGGCTAATGAGGACCTTGTAATAAAAACAAAGCAAAGCAAAACAAAAGCAAAAAAAAAACCCCAACCCAAACCAAACCAAACAAAACCCCCCAAAACCAAACCAAAACACAAAAAACCCACCCACCCATCAACCAAAACATTGAACCTAATGTATTCCCTGCTGTTTGACCTCTGCCTCACTCTAGTCCAATACAGTCTTCAATTGTCTGTACAATTTCCTCATGACCCTAACTTTGACTCCTCCCATCTGTTCTTGACCCTTCCTCTGACAGTGGCCATAATTTAATAATTCAGCCTACCTGACCCTGATCCTACAACTAAGCATAGACCTGATGCTGAGAAAATCATTCCTAGTACAACATGGGGGGCCTCCACCTTCCCTTGCCTGACTCCCTCCTTGTGGTAGGTGGCACTTCCCTTCTCCAAGCCCCAGTAGGGCTCCTGGATCTCCAATTTTCCACCCCCGTCTAAGCAGGGTCCCAGTCCTATGAGGATATGAGAGGGATCCTGTATGCAGCCCCTCAGCTCCGCTCGCTTCGGTCTGGTCCCAGTCATGAGGAAGGTGCGTGCTTCTGTCCCTGTTCCCAGTTTCCTCTGGACCGCTTTCCCCTTCCAGCCCTACTGATGCTTTCCTTTTTCCTGGTCCTATCCAGATGCAGACTCTTATGAAAACATGGATAAGTCTGATGAGCCAGAACTGGCATGGGGAGGAGGAGACCACATGGGAGCTTGGAGTACCAGATGACCCCCAGGTGAGCTGGACACTGGCCCTAGAAAAGGAGATAAGCAAGGATGGCAGTGGAGTGCTGTCTTATGGGGAGAGAAAGAGGAGAGGTTCCCAGGGCCTGGTGTGTGAGGCCTAGACTCCTCCCTATCCTTGTTTCTTATTCATAGACTGGGCTTCCTCAGGCCCCAAGAACCACATCTGACTTTGAAATCTGGAGATCCCAAGCAGATGGTATCAGTCTTTGGATCAACCTTGCCTAGGATGTATGTGTATGTGTATATGCGTATGTAAATAAAACTTCCTTTCTACCCCTTTTGCTTTCCATCAAATAAACTCAACGAGCTCCTCCAGTCCTCTGAAGCAGTGCCCTTGTGTGTGAGAGGAAGGACAGGTGAGGTTGGGTACACTCTTGAATCCTCCAGAGGAAAGAGGGCTGCATTCCGGATACAGCATGGCCCTGTCACTCCTATGATCTGGCCTTCACCACTTCCCCTCAATTATATACACCCAGCTGTTTCCTCTCTATCACCTTGGCCCCCATTACCAAGGAAAAAAGGACAGGGTGCCATTCAACTGTAGTTCCAGTCATTCATGAGACTGAAGCAAGGGGGTCACTTGAGCCTACAAGTTTAAGACCAAGCTAGACACATAGCAAGACCTCATCTCAAAAACTCAGTGCCATAAATAAATATATTTTGATAATTCCTGGCACTCAAGAAGCTTGTGATGTTATTGTAAGGATGAAAATAGTGCATAGCTGTTAGTGCTTAGGATATAGTAGCCCTGAAGCCATCTTCCCAGCATCCAGTGATGCAACTATATTCATCCAGCAGTGATAAGCTGGTGTCCCATGAAGAAGACAGTTCTGGAATTGGCAGTCTAGTTAGAAAGCATCATCTAGCATCACTAAGAATAAATACTTTTATTGAGTACTATATTCTAAACTTTAACATATGTGAACTGTCTTCATCCTTACAATAACATCACGAGTTTCTTGAGTGCCAGGATTTATCAAAGTACATTTATGTGTGGCACTGAGTTTTTGCGATGAGGTCTTAAACTTATGGGCTCAAGTGATTCCCCTGCTTCAACCTCATGAATAGTTGGAACTACAGTTGAATGGCACTGGGGATCAAAACCAGGGCTTCATACATGTTAAACACATACTGTACTACCTAGCTAGCAAAGTCCTGTGAATTATATATTTGATTCTCCTTATTTCATGACATGTAATTCTTAGAATCTTTAGCGTCTCTGAAGTGATTTTCTGTGTGTGTGAATGAATAAGTTGACTGATGGTTGGCAACACCTACATAGTAGCTTCAGGGTGAGATTGGTCACTGAAAAGACCAGGTAGGGTTAGAGGGTTGGGAATTTAGCCTATCCAGCCTCCCAAGGAGAGAAGAGCAGCTGAAGGTTAAGTTGATGGTCAGTGAGGTAATCAATCATGGATGTGTAGAAATCTAGAAAGATGAAGCAGGAGGATCATAAGCTCCAGGCTAGCCTGGGCTACAAAAGAATTGTGAAGACAGGTTTGCTGAATACGTGGAGGCTCTGGGAGGAAGGTAGCCCCCAGAGGGTGTGGATGCTTTCCCTGTTCCTTGCTCTTCATCTGTATCCTTTGTAATAAACCAGCAAATGTGTTTACCTGAATTCTTTGAGTTAGCTCTAGCAAGTGAATTGAACCCATGAAGAGGCTTATGGGAACCTTGATTTATATCCAGTCAGTCAAAAGCATAGGTAGTCACCAGGTGTGGTCCAGTGCCTACAGTCCCAACACTTTGAAGGGTAAGCAGGAGGATGGAGAGTTCAAGGCCAAGAGGTTCTGCATAGCAAGACCCTGTCTCAAAACAAAACAGCACATGTAGAAGAATCTGGGGCCTGCAGAGAGGGCCAACCTTGGGGACTGATGCCCTCATCCTGTGGGTCTGATCTCTCTGGGTAGACAGTGTCAGTACTCAGCTAGATTAGAGGATGCCATCTGGGGTTTCCTGAAGAATTAGTGACTTGCTGGTGGGAAGAAATCTTCACACCTTTTGGGGGTCATACAAGTCTTCTCTGTTAATTTTTGCTGAGAGAGAGTATAGGAGAAAAAGTTTGAATTTTCCCTTTATTATCAGATTACATATATTAACTCATATTATCGTCACAAAACCCTCTATAAGTAAACTATTATGACCAACAAATGGATGGAGAGATTGAGGCAGGCAGAGAAGTTAAATAATATGCCAGTGTAGTTATGAAGTGGTGAGGCCATGCAATCAGGTTCACTGCCCATATTCAGTCTTGACATTCTCTCTTCTAGTTGTTTGTTCATTTACTTTGTGGTGCTGGAGATTGTTAGGCAAGTGCTGTACCACTGAGTTTTATCACAGCCCCCTCCCTCCTGATATAATACTGGACAAAGGAGAGTGAGCATCAGAGAGGCTAACGCATCTGCCATCACACAGCTAGCACCACACAGCTGAATGTCATTCTCTAGAAGTTGGACCCACATAGTTACTCTGTCTTATCACCTGGTGTCAGTTGAGCTCTGTCCTCATATAAACCATGACTGCAAAGCCTTTCAGGGCAAAGATGTTCAGCCCCTGAAACCATTATGGGCACTCTCCATGACATCTAAATCATGAGGTGGCATTGGCCACTGATTCCTGATGTCTTCTGTTGGTCCTGTTCTCCCTGCCATCATTGCCCACAGCTCCAGTGACCTTCTGAAACTCAGACTATGATTGGAAACCTAGTCTTCCTTTATAAAAATATTTTATCATTTTATATGTATGAAGGTATTGCCTGCATGTATGTAAGTGCACCTGCGTCAGTCATGAAATGCCCTTGGAGATCAGAAGAGGGCATCAATTCCCTGGAACTAGAGTTATGGACAGTTGTTAGCTGCCATGTGGGTGTTAAGAATCAAACCCGGGTCTTCTGCAAGAGCTGCCAGGGCTCTTAACCACTGAGCTTACCCTCTGGCCCCCTGAAACCTAGTCTTTCTTACACAGATATTTCAAAGCTCTCTATGAGACCAGCTAGAACTTTTTGGGGGACAAATTCTTGTGTTCACTGGTTTTCAACTCTATGATGACCTTGAATTTTTGATCTTCCTGCTTCTATATCCCAAGTGCTGGGATTACAGATGTGTGCTACCATGCCTGGTTTATGTGGTGCTAGGAACGGAACCTAGAGCCTTGTATGTGCTACTCAACACCACAAACTGAGAGACTGCTTAGCCAACACAATGACTTTTTACTTCTATGTCATATGCCAGGGCTCCATTGTCTGTGCCCAGAAGAGAGGCAGTTGGGTTTTAGTTCTCAGTTTTGGGTAGGAAGCTCTGTTTCAGCCCTTGTTATTCTGGGGGCCTCTTCCTTGACCTCTGTCCCCAGGTGGATGTTCAAATACCAGTCTAGGATTCCTGCAATCTGTGCGGGCTGCTTGACCACATTTCCCTGCTGACCCACTATGGTAGCTTTGATAGCTTTATTTCTGGCACCAAGAAGATTCTGCATTATTATTATTTATTATTATTTTGTTTGTTTGTTTTAAAACAGGGTCTCCCTATAGCCCCACCTGGCCTGGAACTTGGTATGTGGACCAGGGTGGTTTCCATCTCACATAGATCTGCCTGTCTCTGCCTCCTGAGTGCTGGGATTAAAGGCATGTGCCACCATGCCCAGCAAAAAAATATGAAATGCTTCACAAATTGGCATTGTGTCACCCTTGTGCAGGGGTTGTGCTAATCTTCTCTGTCACTTGCCCAGCATGGGTGAAACCTTGGGCTCTACCCCCAGCACTGCAAAAAACAGAACCAGCAACAAATAAATGTTCTTTGTTATATTTTGTATGATACATGCATATTTGGGGATTCGAAGTATGAACCTCCAGCATTTCCTTGGGCTTCCACCTTGAGCAGAAGTCCCTTGACTTGAAAGCAAAACAAAACATTAACAAAACCATCTGGGTTTGGCTGAGCATCCATTCTCCCATTCTCACACAGAATTCATACTCTATTACCTGTTGTCCAGCCTGCTTCATTTTAGTTCTTGTCTGTGAGCTGGATGTGGTGGCTCATACCTTAATCTCAGAATTTGGGAGGCTGAGGTAGGAGGATCCATGAGAGTTCAGAGACTATCCTGGGCTACATAATGAGTTCTAGGTCAGCTATGCCTGAAGACTTTCATGTACATCTTACCTTTTTAAAAAATAATATATTCGTCATGCTGTTTAATGACTGGGTATGGTGGCACACACCTTTAATCCCAGCACTCGGGAGGCAGAGGCAGGTGGAGCTATGTGAGTTCAAGGCCAGCCTGTTCTCCATGGTGAGTTCCAGGCTAGCTGAGGCTGCAGGGAGACCCTGTCTCAAAAAGACCAAAAAAAAAAAAAAAAAAAAAAACCAAACCAAAAGCAAACCAAACAAAAAACCCCACCTAAAACCTTCATCATGCTGTTTAATCATACCTCCAGCACATCATCTAGAAAGGCCTGTTAGAAGAGCACAAGCTTCTTCAGCACGTCTCCTAGAGACCATTTCACCCACTCCTCTGTTTGGCAACTAGGCTCTTGTCTCTCTTGTCAGCAGCGGTGAGGCTGATTCCTTTTCTTCAAGGAAGGGAAATCCATGGTTTGTTGCCCTTGCCAATAACAAAAATGTTGGAAAACCAAGTGTCAAAGCTGTTGCCATTGGCGTCTTTCATGTGAAACAAATCAAAAGAGCCCAGATGTTTCTCTCTCTTGGTGATTACACCAATTTTTCCCCAAGTTAGCACCTCCAGTCACCACACACAGGTTACCTTCATCAAACTTGATGAAGTTAGTTATCTTGCCGGTCTCCAAATCAATCTGAATGATGTTGTTCACCTTGATGAAAGGATCAGGGTGACTAACGTCATGGGTTACCAGATGAGGGATTCCTTTTGTGCCACAGAACTCTTTCTCAGTTTGCACGACTTGTACTTGGCCTTTTCAGGAATAATATGAGGAACAGCAAAGGGGCCCTTGGTGTCGTAGATCAGACAGTA